GCACAAGGGGCAACAGTAAACAAGAGAGGGAAGGACAGGAACAGAACACTATGCTTGAGATAAGGGGAGTGACACTGGCAACCCCAAAGATAAGCAATGGGAGGCTATGGAGCACCCTGGGAATCATGCGCTTTGGCAGCCTTTCTCTCTTTGGCATAGCTACACTTTGGTCTCTAAATCCGTTATGAGCCTCAACTCCTTCCTACCCCCCACTCCATGCAGAGAAAGCAGCTGCATGGTGCTCAGACAGATGAATGTTATGCCTGATCCCTCTAAGTAACTACCCATCAATAATAATAATAAACTCCTTGTAAACCATATGGAGCTGCCTGGTTCATTCTTTGGTCTCAGGATACCTTCTCAGTTTGGTGGGCATTGTACCGATAGCTCACACTTGGACGGTACCTGCCCCATGGAGTTCATAGTCATTGGGAAAGACAGACATTAAACAAAGAGTTCCACAAGTAATTGTTGGAATGCAATTGTATTTTTTGTGAAGCAGGTTGGAGGCCCTGTCCTGACTGGGGGCTGGGGATGGTCCATGAAGTTTCCTCTGAACAAGCACTATTTAAATTGAGACCTGACAATAAGGTCAAAAGACAGCTTGCTTCATAGGTTCCTGGAATCTTCGAATTTTAATGTTCAATAAACATTTTGTTTCTGTTTTTTNACTGGAAACTGGCCTCTATTCTTTTAAAAAATTTCTATTACTTAGAAGATCACTTGCTTACTGCAAGCTGACAGAAAGAAAAATAGTTGCCCTTGGTACGGAAGTCATATATTTCAGTTTGTTTTCCCTGATGTTGACTCATTTCATTTGTGCTAACAGCTGCATTATGTAAATAAAATTCAGGGTGGAGGGGGTAAGAAGAAGGAATAGTTTGTGTCTAAAATCTTCTTCCCCCTTTAAACCACTCTAATCTAATTTCTGGCTGAGAATGATGTATATGCTTCCAGGAATGAGTGACTAGTTCCGTCATGGTTTTGAGGCAGAAAGAAGCATTAGGTCCAGGATATGCAAGTGCATAAAATGTAGAAATACTGTTGTAGAGTAAATTTCTGGTTATAGGGCCTTGAAATTGTTATGATATATTTGTTCTGCGTTTTTGAGACGTTGCTTACATAGGTCAGAGTAAATAAATTTCATTTCTAAATAATCATTAATTGTGTGTCCCTCAGTAGGCACATTCAGTTAACCACCCATCCTTTCTCTACTTAGCAGAGGTTCCAGAAGTCGTGAGGATGTGGCTTGGAAATGAGAGAGGGGAAATTAGATGTGTATTTTCTAGTTCACTTGCCTTTGTTTCATTCAATCCCACAAATTTACTCATTCACTGAATGAGTATTTCTTGATTACCTGCTAAGTACTACGCACAAGGGGCAACAGTAAACAAGAGAGGGAAGGACAGGAACAGAACACTATGCTTGAGAT